GATAAATAAGCAGTCACGGACAATCAGCGGCAGCGTCCTAAAGCATGGGGGGTTCTGGGCTGGTCACCTGGTTCCTCATTAAATACCACAAGAGCTCGCAAGACGCTGTGTGAAAGCCGATGTGACCGGCTATGGGGTCACTGACCACTCACTTCTGGTCACAGAAGTGAGTACTTAACAGAGAGTGAATGAACAACCTCGATGGCCACCGGCTTCTATGGATGCGTATGAGCCACCCGTCTGTCGACGGCCTTTGTGCTTCGCGGCAATCTCGGTAGTCCTTGCTGCTTCACTGGGGCTCTTTGGGCGCCCTGAATAGTTTGTCTCTACTCGAAAACCGTTCACCTAGAGAGTCGCCTCCCAGCAGTCGCAGTATACGTCAATCGCCCTGCTGCCTTGCGGGTTAGGTCTTTATGACCCAAGGCTCCGGGTGGCGTCCTCTAAGTCAACCCTCTTCCTCCGCCTGGGCAAGCGGAAAGTACTATGCCCACACAACCTATGCATCCATGTCTCAACAGTTCTTCGCTCGCTGTCTCCGCTCCCGCTCTATCTGCTCTCATCGGCCGAGGTTCTGGCAGCTGAATCTGCCAAACCATCTTTTATCGCACCACAGTTTAGTCACTTTGTTCCACGTTTGTTCAACCCCCTCATTCTTTCTCTTCGTTTTCCGTTTTCGAGTTCACAAGACCGTGCCGCCTTGGGCAAAGGTTCTCGCCATACGGATCAGGAGCCTAGGTCCGAAGATGCGGAAAGTCGTGTTGGCAAGCCATTGCTAGCGCTCCATTCCCAATTCAAACTGGTAACCTTCAATATTCGGACGTTGGTGCAGATTGGATCACGCGCAGCTCTTGCTCGCACTTTAGAAACTACGGCGATTGATGTCTGCTATCTCAGCGAGACTCATTTACAGGACTCTAGCAAGACGCTGCGACTAGTTTCACCGTCTGCGAATTCCACTGGCATTTTCACTTTGCGCCTATCTGGAGACTCAACTACCGAAGCCGCTTGTTATGCTGGTGTGGGGATTGCGTTGAGCACACGTGCTAGGGCCGCGCTACTAGACTGGATCCCATTTAACAGTCGACTATGCGCGATCCGACTTGAAACTTTAGTGCGACTGTCTAGGCGCGAAACTAGCAGAAGCTGTCTATTCATCGTCGCTGCGTACGCTCCCACAGATTGCAGCCCGGAGTCAGTTAAAGATATGTTCTATGGTCAGCTGACCGACCTACCCCATTAAAACGCCTTACCGACATCGTTGTGCTCGCCGAAGACTTTAACGCGCAGATCGGTAAACCAGAAGTTGACGAAGGTGAACTCGGTGGCCAACAGGGCCATGACACCTGCCAAACTGACAACGGTGATCGACTACTTCAGGTTTACGCCGATCACGGCTTCTTTCTTTCGAGCACTAGTTTTCAGGGATCCTGGCACCAACGGGCCACCTGAAGACCCCCATCACCTGGCCGGCCGTGGGCACAAATTGACCACATCGTCATTAGCTATAGCTGGCGGCATAGCATACAGGATTAGGAATCAATCTGGTACCTAACTTTCTTTGGATCACGCGCTGGTGTTTGCCAAGATTGCGCTACGTTTTAGTAGCTTCCAGCAGCGTCGCAAGAAACGGCTTGATGTACTTAAGTATTCTGCCCGGAACTTTTTCCGGGCATTTCAGGATGCCTTGGCCTGACAGCTAAAGACTGCCTCATGCACAGACATTGAAACCCACTGGACACACATCCGCGGCGCCGTGTATAAATCTGCACCCCTGGTCTGTGGCTTCACCAGTAGTTGTGTCAACCACTGGATCTCTGCACGATCCCTTTAATTTCTCGAACCCCGTAGAGCAATTCCTGCTAGCGTCAAATATCATTCACTGGGCAGTACTACCAGCGCTGAGCTCAAACAGCTTCTCCGGGAAGATCGGGAGGCCTGGCGGACGCAGCGGGTTACTGAGATGGAGAAAGCGGCCCCTCGGGAAATTTCCGTAAGTTTTTCCTCCTTATCCGATCTACTGGTGGCAAAAGGCCGACTATAAGCGAAGTTTTACGCGAATCCCAATCCACTGTCAAGAACGCTAACTTGAGCGTTCGGCCGATCACTTTGAGCAGCAGTTTAACTGACCAGCCGCACCAATAAGTTCCCATACTGGAGCCCAGCGCGCTCCCTGGTGTATAGACGCCTCACCACCATCCGAGGCTCAGGTTGCCCACGAGCTTCGTCTCCTAAAGCGCTACAAATCCCCTGACCCAGATAAACCACCGTCTCTTTTTAATAATGGTAGCCCATCACTGGTTCGGGAGTTAACTTCTCTCCAAGAGATTTGGGTCACTGTAGTTATCCCATCCGATTGGAGCCTAGCGGATATCGTGCCCGTCATTAAAAAGGGTGACCGAACTGACTGCGCTAACCATAGAGGGATGGGTCTCATCTGTATTGCTTCCAAGATGCCTGCGGCTCTGCTTCTCAACCTGGTACGCGAACAGAGTATATGTGAAGAGCAACCTGGGTTCCGCTCAGATCGGAGTTGCATCGATCACATCTTTACATACCGCTAAATACTTGAATGTCGTCAAATATTTGGCCAGCCAACGATCGTTGTCTTCTTAGACATAGGAGCCGCGTTTGATTCAGTTGACCGAGGTACTCTCTGGAGTTGTCTACTGAGAAGAAGAGTACCCGAGAAGTGTCCCCATTCTTCAAGCCATCTACTCTCAAACTTCGGGCCGAGTGCGGGTGTACAGCGGACTTTTGCAATCGGCCCCCCTTTGGTATCACCAGTGGCCTGAAACAGGATTGCTCAGTATCCCTTTTTTGTTCAATTCCGCAACGGACGAAATCCGCATGCCTACTTATCGCTTGCCGTGCCTTCTTCGTGCACACAGAATTCAGCTGGAAGCGAAATCAAGGTGGCCAATGTATGACTTGGGCCAAGAGCATGAAGCAGCGAACGTCAGTGTTAACCGTGGTCGCTCTCTCTCGGCTCCCTGGTTGGAGTGTGAAGGATCCGGAACACACATGGCTGGAAACGCTCTTGGATATGGCAATAAATTGTGCACAATGACCGATTTGTTGTGACTCACTATTCGAATGAGCTTCGTTTTCCCACTCTATCTTCGTAGGTTTATTGTATTTTCCAAACGTTGTGGCACTATGCCAATTGTACTATTGACCATGTTGAGTATATATATATATATATATATATATATATATATATATATATATATATATATATATATATATATATATATATATATATATATATATATATATATATATATCGCAGGCATGGTGCGGCATCGATTCACTCGAGCTGCTTTCTAGTTCTCACTGAGCCTACGCAAACCTTTCTGGGGCCGAAGTTCTCATGTAGGATAGTACGGCTTCATCCAGATGATATCCCGTTGGCTTTCCCCAGCTGTACCACAGTCGTCCTCGCGTTGTTTTTCAGCATCGTTTGCATAGCAGTAATTTTGTTCACAGTGGCGGCCCCCACAACTCGACCACACCGTCTTATCACCGAGGGACCGCTTACCACACTTGAATTCGGCAAGCCACTCAGCTACGGTGATTCTTAAAGGCGCATCATCACCAAACGTAGCACGCAATCGCTCAACACTCTTATGCTGCTTTAAACCACATTTTTAGTCATATAACATCATCGCCCTCCAATGACATTCACCGAGTTCCATACTTTCAGTCAGGGTGTAGCGACGTTCATGACTTGTGAGCTGGGCTGGGCTGCTGATATGGGGTTCTGAACACTGTTTAGAATGGATTACAGTTCCGATTTTTCTTGTCAGGTCATCTGCACCTAATCTGTTTACTGCGTATCCGAAAACTTATTGCTTTGCCCTCGTACAGGTCCGTCGAACCAACCGTGCGTTGACTTAAGCGGCACCGCCCTGCGTCTTCGGCTGGATAGCCTACCGGAAAGGTAGCAGAGCGATACTGGCACTCATCGATAGTCGCTAACTGATTATCCAGTTCATATGCTTCTCGTTCGGTTTGTTACTAAACAAAAGCCAATCATACTTGTAATTTTGACGTCGGGCTGCAGGAATACAGTGCCCCACCATGGTGAAGCAAGATGCAATGGCAATTGTGCTTTTCGAGTTACTAAAGAAAACTAACTGTTTTAAATGACAGTTTAGTTACGAGTCCTATCTGCAACGTCCCAGTAGTGTTATACATTTATGGCTTTTTATAGGGTGAACCCTTGCCAGTCCAAATCTACCACCTCATGGACCACTGTCACCAAACCATTTAGTGGAAAGGGATAAACCCTCACTGCCTAGATGGCTTCGTTTGAATCTTGTTCAACAATCCATTCGGACACTCAAGTAGTTTTTCATGCCTTTCGAATTGAGGGTAATCCACCTTTGATGTTGAATCCTACCTGCTATGCCAGAATGGTTTTCATCAGGTTTGGTTTGCTGATTTCGGCGCGATAACATTTTGCTAGATGGGTTTCAGCGTTAGTTTCTTTTCTCTTGAAAATCAACATTGTTTTCTGTTGGAAAAAAGGCAGAATTCACTACCTTGTTTCGATAACCAGCGCTCTGAGCTTGTAGACGGACTCCATTGACCTCGTTATCGACCCGATTGTTTGTCCATCACACATCCTTGGGGTCTTTAATGGGTGTGTATGGGAGAATTCTAAACTAAACGCTCCATCGGAGTAGTCCACTGTCATTTGACCACACATTGCAGACATTCACCCGACTAAATCTAATTTATTTTTCGACAGCGGTTGTTGGTCTGGCTTGTCATTTGTCGATGCTTCTGGTTCATGGCGGCACGGCTTTATACACCCGCATAGTCTGCACCATCAAGTTCGGAGTCAATTTGACAATTTATTTTTCAATTCAGCTGGTTTCGTAGGTTATTTGAAGCTATTCACTGATTGTATGCACTACTTGTCTATTGGCTTTCCTTTCTACTTTTTATCTAATGACAGATAATGAACTTGTGCATCCTATTGTATCGGTTTTCGAATGTGTTCTGCTCTCGTGACTGATAATTTTCTGGGATCAATATCGCCATGGATTACTGCTCATGTCAACATCTCTTGTCGTCTGTGGACGCATAACGATATGAATGCTGTGGTTATTCTTTGCCACTTTTGTGAGCAACATGGACCGTCCGTTATCATGTGCACTCAGCCGTATAGTCAGGGTCCGACAAAATTAGCATCAGCCAGCACTGGACCGGAGCAGAGGATTTCGGATCGGGCCTCAATGAAGCGGACTGCATCTCACACAGGTCTTCATGGTACCACCGGGAGTGGTGACTCTAGCGTGGATGTTTCTTCAAGTCGTTTTCCTTTTGGTTCAGGTAAGCATCCAATTGCCCGTGTTGTTGTCACTGCTCATGGACCTAGTTTCATTTCACGTTATGGGTCTCTGTCCATCACTATCCAATATGTCATTCTTTTCACTTGTCGGAAGACAGTCATATTCCTCCCTTTTTCTGCTTATAAGACACCCGTACTACCCAAAGTAACCATAGCGGAACCCCCTAATCCTTCATTTAATTTATAATTGGCATCTTTTTAAGGTCTTGCCAACGTTTATTTTGCTGCAGCAGTCATTCATACTTATTTTCCCTTCATTGGTTTCTTTGCCTATGACTCGTAACCTAAACTATACTGCTTTTCGTTTCTCTATACTAACTTTTCTCGCTCACCATAGTTGTTCAGTGTTTCCAACTACTGAAGTTGTTTCATCAACCGTTTGCTCTATTCGGCCTATCGGCCCACTAACTGGCTTCACTTGAGAAACCTCTGGCGTTTATTCTGCTTTGTGTATGAGTAGGCTAACCATTGGGCATAAATTCATTAACTTTCAATATGATCCCTAACCATTGCTTATTATTAGGCAGCCTCACGAAGCAAATGTATCTGCACGGCGTTACGACACTAGGTCGGGCCGACAGCCTAAACGAGCTTCACGTCGGCCACGTGAACGCCCGACCAACTATGGAACAGGTGCGGTGTGAATAGCTGGCCAACTCTGTTGAACATTCATCATGTTATAGGGTTTATACCTTGGCGCGTGTACAGTTGACCAAATACGGAATATAGGCGCGATGCGACTGGCTGGCAACCTTGGGCGAAGATCGACTGAGTGAACGGGGGTGGTGCTTCGACGTGAACAAACGGCCAAATATGGTACACCAGCTCAGTGGTGTGCGTTCGCCTTAGTTGATTCCAGGACGCCGAAGATGCTTAGATCATGCTTGACCTATGAATGCAACCGTCCTTTTCATAGACCACACACCGTTTACCGAGCCTGAATTTTGGTTTTACGCTTGGATTTTGTGCCAGGCAGAGCGGACCGTAGGCAGCAGTAACGCAGGCAAAGCAGCACAACAGTTATTACCCCTCTGTGTTCATATGTGTTTAAATATTTGAATATTTAGTCTCATAGCGTTAACCAGACCGCTTTGTTTTCTGGAAAATTTAGTGTTAATAGATCACTACGATGCTCACTGGGGATCATTAATATGTAAATTCGATGCACATTATGTGTTTCGACTCGGCCAATCTGCACAGCCTGCGTTAACGGGCATTTTTCACCTTGAAATCGAGCAGCTTCGCGAAAATTGTGACGCAGCTATTTTTCGGTTGATAATTATATGATAAAACCGATGTGGATTTTGTTATTTCAATCTCTAGCGATTTCTATTCAACTCCAATTTTTTGTTGACAGCGGCTTCCGATTTCCTCTCTGAAAAAGTACTGGGCAGCTCACGTTATTCCCAAGAGCTTCAAGAATATCGACCCCTCCTGATCTGACGTCTTCATTATTCCCCAATCTATTTCTTTTTGATGACTATCACAATACCTTGGGACTGTAATGTGTTGCCACTTAATTGGTTTCAGTAGCTTTTGAAATTCACAAGTATACACTTCACTCGCAGATAAATATGGTAAAGATGATCTTTTTGTTCGCAAGTTATACTCCCATCGTTATCACAGGGCTAGTTCTTTATTCTTTCAGGTACCTACGCTAGTACTTTCTTAAATGGCGTGTCGATTATCGTACTCATTTTCAGAAGGGGTGTTCGTACTTTATGCGCCAACCACAGGAATCAGTCTTTTATATCCATCGTCTCCAAATTGCTAATATCCATTCTACTGCGCAGGCTAACACCGACAGGACATTCGCTCCATCGAAATGCAAGGTCCTACTCCAGGATTAGCATACACCTGCCTCCGTGCTGATTCTTGAAGGCGATCAGCTTGAACAAGTTAGATAGCTTCATCTACCTTGGGAGCTGTGTTTCTTCCGATGGCACTATTGTAAGCGAGATTTCTCTCCGTATTACCAAAGCCTGACGGGCTTTCGCTGATCTGAGGCATCTGTAGTGTCGTTGTGACGTTTCACTCTCGGTAAAGGGTTGAGTCTACAATGCTAGCATAGGGCCGCACCGAGCAAAAGCGCACGATCGTCACCCTACCACATAGCGACAAAACATCATGACGCTGAATTGCAGTCTAGCTGTTGTCGTACCGTACGTCCTCCGCGCTGGGGAGTCGGAGGTGAAGAAGACCGCTAATTGAAGATTTGATGACATGGCGCGTATTCGCGGATAGTGGATGATTTGCATGTGCCTGTGCGTCGATTCTACAAATCAACACCATAATCACTAAACTGGCAAAAATAGGACAAAACGGTGTTTGAAAAACGCAAAAGAACTTCTTTATATATTTCCATTTTGTGATCTTTGTACTTATTATGCACATTCATTCCTTGGTTTTCGATGGCTCGATATCTATTGCATAGAGAGTTGCTATATATATATATATGCTATGTTAAATCATCGGTTTCTTAGGTCGAAACTAGCGGCTGTGGGTTACAAGCTATCTGCACATTTACGGAGCCTTCTGAGGATCTGTTTAAATATGTGGTTCATTAGGAATTTATCATCTTATCTTCTGACCATCACTGCACAATTATACATACATGATATATAATAGCATCAATCATTACCACTTTTTCAAATGTCTTTGGAGCCTTCAAAACCTGATGGATCGTGTTTGGTATATGGCCCCAATAGCCAAGTGACTGGTTCTGTGGCATTTCACTCACTGCGAGGTGATTTTATTTGATTGGATTATTTACCTTTTTCTTCTTTGCTTCTGTTTTTGGAGACTAATTCATCGTTATTTGCTAGGAGGTGGCCACCGAATAGTTTTTCCTTTTGGGGCCCTTTTTAATTTTGTAGATTTGTCTCAGGTGAACAAGAAAACATCACCAGCAGCTTCTCAGCAACTTCTGCCTTCGAAAACCGCCACATGTCGGGCCTGCTCATTTAGCACGCGGGATGAGCCTGGCTTCGTAAGCCAGGACCAGGCTGCGAACTTGTCTTACATATCAACACAATGGCCCAAAGATCCGGATTTGCTGAATTTCGTGCGAACGGCGTGCCAGCGAAGTTTATCCTGTGAGGTGCGGATGCCTTATAGCTTCTTGGTAACACTTTTGTTTCATTCCCTTAGAATCTTATTCAGCTTGGCAGAGGTTTATTTCGTTTTAACGCACAATTTTAGTACCCTGGTACGGTTTCGACTAGATGCCGCAAGGGTTTTATAAACTTGACATCGTACGGTTTGCTTAATTTACACAGCTGATCGCTCTAACTGCATGGACTTTACTTTTCTCCGTCGTGCTTGTGCAAATTCACTGGTCTCCAACCGTTATCATCTTTTTGGATTTTGCGCTTTATCGGTATTCAGGTGACTCGGGTCTCAGATTTTTCACAATCGTTTGCGTTCACCTGGATGATTGGCGTTAGTATGGCCAAAATTGCGTTAGTGCTATCTTTTAGGCTTTAGTTTGTTTGCGTTTCTCGTTTACTCAGCTGACATATCCATTGCTTGCTGGCCGTTTGCGAAATGGTTCAGTCGTCTGACTTGTGATTCACCTGTCGCCGTTTCGGATAACCTCTCACCACCGTTGATTACGTGAAATCGAAACACCTGTGCAAGGTCCTGGTATACTGTTGATATTTTTATCCATTTATATCCATCACATTCTTTGTTATCGTATCCCAGCGTTTACTCCTAAGTTTCGATAACCATTACTGGCACATTTATATTCACCTTTTACCTCACTCGGTAAGGTTTCTCCTGGTCCCGAAGGTGCTTTCTACTTCGGCGATGAAGTTAACGGACACGTGGTCAGCTACAATTTCCAGATCAAGGACTCTCAAGCCCGGGGGTTTCAGAGCCGATACTGCTTCTTGATGCTTTCTTGGGATCGGGTGTATCTGTTGAATTTGTGGCCATTTTTGGTAGGTGCACCTCTTTATTTGCTCATATTCTTGTGCTTAGTTTATCCGTAGTATCCAACACTTATGATTTGTCTTTTCGCTGCTCTGTTCGTGAGGCCACAAAATCTTTTCCTTTGACTTCTTTCTTAGCATTTGCCTATCCTCTGAATTCGCGACAAATCTAGTTTACCTAGAGTTTTCTCTCTGATACTCCTAGTGGGCTACTTAAGCTGACATCATATCTACTCATCGCCTGTCGCTTAGTTAAGTCTGAGCCAGGCACCGGAGGATGATTTAACTAGCTGCCATTGCTAGTGTTGCCTTGATGACCAACGCGACAGTGATGGGATGCACTGTGCATGACCTGAGGCATTAAGCTGAATGCATATACATCATTGGCCCTGTGTCCCTGCATGTCGGTTAGTGTCACCACGCTGCGATATAGCTGATCATTCGATTCCCGTATGGAAATGTGACACTTGCCAGACTAACCATATCTATCAGTTGAAATCCTGGTGCCTTTTTTGCACATTATCGTATTGCTACCTTGTTGTTTTACTGCAATCTGTACATCAACGACAAACAATACATGCAGAGTGAGGTGGTCAGCAGACATCTGTTTGACATGGCCTATTCAACGCAAGCACTTAGAGTTGTGGTTGCACCACAGGGTCTATTCCTGGACGTCAAATGGACTGCTGGCTCGAAATGTCCCCTAGTTACCAGTAATACTCTGCAAGCGTCGATGATTAAAGAAGCGCGGCTACTGTGTTTATGATTCTGGTGTGTCATCATCCTCATTATGCATGTTAGCTGCAAGTGGAAAGCACCTAAGCTATTGTGCCACAATAAAAAAACGCGCGACGGACGCACGTCGATTGAGTCACCAGTAACGGATGTACACCGTTCCGGAGAGCTAGAAGCCGGCTATTGTGTCACAAAAAGAGCTATATTATGCCTAATAAATGAGGTCATGGTTGGAGGGGAGGGACAAAGAAACTCACAATGCAAACGCCATTAAGGTCGGCTCCTAGCCATATCAACGAGTGTATCCAGCCAAACGTATTCATCGTCTTTCGATCCCGAACCGGGGAGCCGAGAGGCTTCAACCGAGGCCAGCTTCAAAAGAAGAGCCTTCATTCCTCTTGACCAACTCTTCGCTTGGCCACCCCACTTCTTCCAGCCGCGCCCCCGGTGTGCAAACAACGCACGTCGCGGAAGTCGGTGGGCTGGCATGCGTAACACGTGGCCGAGCCATCGGAGCATGGTGCGTGAAATAACGGTGCTGAGCGGTTCAGTTCCTCTTCCTGTGCCATAAACAAGGCGTCGAACACGCTCATTGCTCACACGGTGTTCCCACCAGATATAAGCCAAACTGCGAAGGCAATACAATGAATCTCACTTCAAACAAATTTCTGATGCTCTGGCCACCGCAGAGAATAATCAACGGTGTCCTATCTGCTACATCGGGCAGGGTGGATAGGGGTTTTGGATGCTACTGCTTAAGCCTTCCCGTCTTCTTATTCCCCTCTTGCGCTTTTTCATCCTTTTCGTCCCGTTCCAGCTTCACTTTTATCCCCCCCTGTTTTCAGCCCCCCAATTCTCGGCCCTCCCCAACCTTGCTTCAATAGTCGCTTGTCTTTTCGTTTCAACTCACATGTGAACGCGGAGCGTCATTCCTGCCCTGTCAACAGGCCCATGTCCAAGCAAGCGGCCCATTCCAGTTCATCGGCTTCCATTTGGAGCCCTCGATCCTCCTTCAGATTGGCATGCCTCAGTGTTCGCACCTTGCTTCAGATCGGTCAACAGGCAGCATTTGCCCGAACATTAGAGCCCCTCTCGATCGATATCTGCTGCTTATCGGAGACCCGCCTGCAAGACTCGAGCTCTGTACTCACTCTGCGATCCCCTTCAGGTGACACTAGCAGCACTTTCTCATTGCGCCTATCCGGTGACGATGCAGCTTCGAGCATCGGCCAAGCCGGTGTTGGTATTCCCCTGAGTCCCCAGGCTGAAGCTACTCTGGTTGATTGGATTCCAATCAGTAGCCGGATGTGTGCGGTCCGATTGGCTGGCTCGTTCAAAACTTCGAAGTTGCGTGGGATTAACAGGTGTCTATTCGTTATCGCTGCCTATGCACCGACAAACTGTAGCGATGATTCGCTAGAAGACGACTTCTATCGTCAACTGAACGAGCTCCTTAGCCACAGAAGAAGCTCGAACACTGTAATGCTGGCTGGGGATCTGAACCCTCAAGTTGGAAAGTTATCCACTGATGAGCTGCATCTGGGCGGCCAACATGGTATTGGCTTCCGTAGTGATAACGGTGAGCGGTTACTTCCTTTGTGTGAGGATGCTCGCTTATTTCTTGCGAGCATTAATTTCAGACACAGCATCCGCCGGAGGGTCACTTGGCGCCCACCAGCCTCGAGTCAGCTATGGACGCAAATCGATCACATTGCGATAAATTACCGCTGGAGAGGCTGCGTCCAGAACTGTCGCTCGATTTGGAGCACAGATGTGGACACCGACCATGCACTTGTATGTGCTGACCTGCGGATGCGTTTTGGCGGACGCCCAAGACGACGTTGTGAGCGCATTGACACCAGCCAACTGGCGAAGCCAGCTGTTTTGAATGCCTATCAAATTACGCTGTCATCCGAGTTGGATAAACGCTCACTGGATGCAGTTGAAGGTCACTGGTCTCATATTCACCAGACCTTACTAGCAGCAGGAAAATCCTCATGTGGTATGTCTAATCACCAATATGGACATTGGGTCTCTTCACAGTCTGGCATATTCCGGCTGGAAGCGAACACAATGAAACTGGCAAAGAGCTCCGGGCAAAACTCCGTGCTAGCTTGAAGAGAGACCGCGAATCCTGGTGGTCTCATCGCGCAACAGAGATGGAAATGGCCGCTGCTCTTGGTAACCATCGTAAGTTATTCCGTCTGATATGGGAAACGGGCAGCAGGAGACCTGGTGTTAGTGAAACTATACGTGACGAGAGTGGACAGCCTATCCACAACTTCTCAAAACGCTTAAAGCATTGGGCTGAGCACTTTGAAAAGCAATTTAATCGGTCGGGATGGTTAGATTTCTCTCCGGCCACTGATCGCCCTGCTCCGTGGGCTGTCCCTTTGGATCCACCCTGTCGCTCAGAAGTCGAACGTGAGATCGGACTGTTGAAGTTGAACAAAGCCGCGTGACCAGACGATCTTCCTCCAGCCCTCTTCAAATTCGGGGGACCTGCTTTTGTGGATGATTTACACGAGTTACTAGTGAAACTGTGGGAGCAGAAAACTGTCTCAACCGATTGCTGTCCCTTCATAGTCCCAATTTTCAAGGGAGGCTCACGATCGGAATGCGACAGCCATAGAGGAATCAGTCTGATCTTCATCGCCTCCAAATTGCTTGCCTCTATCATCCTTCACAGACTGACTGGCACCAGTGAAAGCCATATTCGTGCGAGCTGCGCAGCCGCGTATCGACGGAGGTTGCTTCTTTTGGCAACGTGGGATGCCGTGTGTAGAATAACCGGCCCACTGTTAGGACGAAACTGCTGGTATATACGTCTATGGTGCTATCCGTTCCTCTATATTTCAGCGAAACCTTGACGCTTTATCGGAAGGATGTCTGATATCTGGAGCGCTTCCATCAGCAGTATCTGTGCCGTATTATACGCACTAGCTGGGGTGACTGACTTGCAGACACGGAGATGTTGCGCCTAAGTGGCATGTATGCAGTAGACTGCCTTCTTTTTCTGATACCTCTGTGGTGGCTTGGACATATTCGTCTCATGGATTTGACCCGGATACCGAAACAGCTGCTTTATGGCCAATTGAGTGCAGGAAGTAGCACGTAGGAAAACCTAACTTACGTTACCAGGACGTGCTCAAAGTGAGCCTATCACGTTCTGATGTTACTTTCAGCTGTTGGAAATCGAAGATGGTTGATGGGCGTGCATGGCGCGACCTGATCACTAAGGCAATTGCCGAGGTTTTAGAGAAACCCCTCGTGCATGCGGAGAAGAACCGGCAGGCGCCGATGGGCTGTATTCCACCTACTTCGAACGCATGGTGCTGTAACACGTGCGGTCGCGAATGCTTGAGTCAGACAGGACTAGTGAGCCATGAACTAGGCCACTCGGGTCCAGCATCGAAACGACGACGGATGTTGCTGAGAACTTAGGAGAACCAGCGCATTGTTGCTGGGTACGCAGCATTCGATTTACTAACAGAGTGCTTGCCTGCTGAGTTTCTTTTCTTCAGGTTGGGTGTTTGCTACCTTGTCTTATTGTTAATTTGTTACCTCATTTAATGTATACCTGAATAATCTATTAAAATGCACATTTCGCTTAAGCTAAATGTGATTAACTTCGCTTATTTTCCCTCCTTGCATATGTGTCTTGATCCCTTTTTCTGCCACCCTGAATCTATCACGGCTATTTTTATACCATTTATTTCATATGCTAATTTAGCGGCATATCCGTATGGCGTTTTGGACCTATTTTATTGCTTTTTTCATCTCATGTGATTGGGTTTTGCTTGACATCCGCGGTGTGGCTGTGCTTGATGTGTAATTGACAAGGTACCTATCTGTCTGTTACCCATCACCCCCAGGAGACAGCTGGTCGTTGCTGGAGGGGACAGGGTGCACGGTCCTTGTGGCCGTGCTAGGCTCGAAGAGCGGTTCCATGCACACGGTTTCTGTGTGGAGCGTACTACCATGCAGCCACCGCCTTGTTTGCGCTTGATTTCCCAAACACAGCGTGCTTGTGTTTGTCTGTACAGGAGTCTGGGCCTGCTCCGTTGATGAAACCTGGCTCCCATCCACATGCCTCCTGGTCTTATTCCTCCGGGTTCACACTGCTTGTGGGGTGTGTGGATGGAGCTGTGGGTGGTGCAGCGCAAGCCCCCCATGGTCCCTCCGTAAATGCAGGCGTCCTTACGGTATCGCTGCGGAGGCCGCAGTGACGGGAAATTCCGGATGCCGATGCCACATGATTTATATATATATAT